TTTCAACTTCTGCGCTGGAGGGCGGATCCAAGTGGACGACTGGGGGAGTAGAACAATCACTTCCCGAAACACGGGGTCATAACTCAAGTTGATCATACTGCTTTGCAGTGTTCAGCCCAACGCTCCGAGCTATTTGGCAACCAGTAAATTGGTAGTCCACTTTCATCGCATGGAATCTTCTACTATCTCATGCTGCCTGTATCACAAGGAATTACTTGCTTGGGTTACCAAGGGCAGCGGTTGTTTCCATCTTCTACGCACGATGAGACCACCAGGCTAGCGCTCACTTTTGTCCTGACATCTTCGCGAGTCTCGCTGTGTTCGTTTCCAGTCGGAACACGTCGGTGAACATCTAAAGGCCCATGAGACTGCGTATAGACCCAATGTCCAGATTGGCGATTTGATTTGCCGCATGAAAGCATGGCTGCTGCTAATAACCTCTGGCGGAAATGCGCAAGTAGTCTTCAACTCTTTTCAGTAAGCGCATACTCAGTCCGGATGCCAGTATACTTTGATACGCATTCAGAACACCTGGATTCGCCAGTTGGGTGGTGTCTATGCGGTTACAGCGACGTTGCGGATGTCCGCCCAAACGCACCTGGCGGTCGGCACACATATGAGTGTGATCGGAGTTCTCATTCGTGCTCCAAATCGAGCGGCAGTTATTTAACCGACCACCTTGTGATTAATTTGCATCCATGGCTAGCCTGAGGTTGGTGGGCCCCAAGTCACTCTGTTGCGGGTGTTATGTCTAAAGTTAGTGCTGCGAGAAAGAGACGAGCATCTTCACTCAGGTATAGCAACCGCTCACCGTTATCAGTACGGGAGCCTACACCATGTTTGTCCCCCAGATAAAGCTCATCAGTGGACAAATTTCGACTTTCGAGGTTTAGATCATCAGCAAACACCGTAGGATCAATACTTTCTCTCTAACGGGGGAGATCGTTAGTTTGATGATAGAAATCATCTTCCACCGAATGAGTGCTGCAGTTTGTGGGGGAGTAGGCCGCAATGACAAACGGGCACTGTTCGTCCCCGCTCGACTTCGAAGTCTTGGACGAGCCAGTCAATCTGACAGCGCACATCCAGCTGTTGACTGGAATCTAATCGATCAGGGCAGCTGCAACCTTGCGCCCCTAAACAAAGCCCACGCCAGCTTGAAGCTGTGTGTTTTCCAGACAGGCGCAGAGGATGTGCCACAAGTGTCGCTCCTGGGCGATCACAGGGTAACCACGGAGCTCGAGTCTTGCAGACGGATTTTCGCTAAACGGCAATATCGATCGACAGGGTCTTCAACGTTTTGGCAAGTGCTGCCTGTTTGCCAATCTGTAGCAAAGTGCGCACGTTGATTCATGCGTCTTAGCGATGCTCGAGGACTCCAAAAAGAAGCGGATGAACTGACGTCCGCTTGGTCGAACATGGACTTGTCGACTGGACTGGAGCAACGCCCTTCGATTGTGTGAGTTAAAACTAGAAGACAAGCGACTATTGAAGCAAGGTGGGGGAGGGTCAGGAATTGCTGGATTGAAATGTGGGGAAGATAAAAGTGAATTTGGAACGGGACGCTAAGGATGAAAAGGCACAGGAGTGAATAAGAAGAGAGGGAGGCCTGGACAATATGAGTTCGCTGTCATCCACCCTGCTCGATGAAGTGGTTAAGGTGCCGTTGATTATTCTTTGCGACGGCCAGCGAATGAAGAAATTGTTAAAAGGGAAACTTGTAGTGTTTTACAGTTTAAAGCAACCCATTGAATGATCAGAACTCATTGCAAGCGCGCGTGTTTTCCTTTGCTGCTCGTCAGTCTGTTACAGTCACATGCAAATCAAATCAATCAGACAGACTACTAAGGTCATTAAAATTGGGTAAAACCACTGTTTAGAAGAGGCCGATAATTGCGGTTCATCAGGTCAATGTCGTAGCCTGCCTCCGATCCATCTGTGTGAAGGTCACTATTCGATCTGACCGGAGCAGCTGTAAAGCCTGAGTGAATCGCTTCTGAGTGCCCACATTCGGTTCTTGCATCCGGATTGCAATGACCTTGGCGGCTTCTAGTATCCATTTGCGTGTATTCCTCGATCGATTTCCGAGGGCATTGTTGATAAATCTGAATGCGTCGGCCGGGTTAGGGTTGGCCAGGTGAACAGCTATTGAGGAGTTACATGCTCTTCTGTTTCCAGCCGCTAGCCATGCCTGACGATTTTCTTTCAGTCTCTCTGTCAGACACCTATTCGTAAAACCAGTGTATATGTAATGACATTTGTGATTACTCAATTCCCCCAGTATATCAATGATCTTACCGAAACCTTTAATCGAGCCTATAAAGCGATGCGTTGTGTAATAAGGAACCACACTGACTGCAACCCCAACCTGGAGGACCAAGAGGCTGAGTTATTTGGGACCCTAGCCATTAACCAATCTGGTATGAGGAGCTCTGAGGGTGTAAAAACAACACTCAGCATAGTTAGATGAATCGCATATCCACGCAACCCTTCACGCCACGTTAAGGTCCAGTCCTATCGCAATGGCCTTGACTAAGATGGGTCACATCCATCAATGCTTCTCTTCCGACTACACTGGGAATGCTCCCCTCCTCGAATTATGTTAACCAACTCCATTATTTTGCAACCTCATTCCTTGCGCATCCGCAAGTCAGTGGGCTTCTCTATCGATTGCCAATAAAACTAACGTTCCTTTGTCTATGCTTCGTCTCTTATCCACTATTTTATTGGCTGTTGTTCTGTGACCAACAGTCACCACCTTAAAGTAATCCGTCTCACGTAGTGAGGGTCACCGAACTGTTTGTTTAGCACCTTGTTGCACATGATCCGCAACAAAATGGTTCATTTTTCCATTCCTTCCGTTCTTTGTAATCAGTTAGGCTGTACCGCTTGTAGAGACCAACTCTGCGATTCACCATGTTTTGAACTGCGTCACTCCTCCAGATAGGGCCCCGATTTATACCCAGTAACCTATATGTCATCAAACAGGAAAATCAGAAGATGTAATTTGTGAGATGACATCGCCATTTGGTCCATTTTACCAATCGCAAACACAGCATTAATAGAGTAACAAAAACAGTGTCATATGAGACCGCACATGGCTAAGTGCCTGCGATACCATGGTAGACTTAGGGCCACAATCATCTGTTTTTGAATGCATAGCAGCGGGCGTTTGCAGGCGATAACGATATATCCCAGTAGACTAGGAATATGAAGACAGTGGTCTCGCATTGGGACTGTGAACGACTCATCAGTTTTGGTTCGATATCCGGTGGTCAGCAATTACCTTGTGACTTCTAAGGAAGCTCGGTTTCCCGATTCAGTCGATTCCGTCGTCACATATCCTATCCGGCTTCGTAACTACCTGGGGATGTGCTCATTGATTCTGACACCTTCACGTAGGAGCATCTGCTTGTGGCACTACCAGTCGTCACTGCACCAGTCACTAGATATCCGAGAGGTCGCTGAACCTGTTGGAATCCAGATGGAAACTCCCGGCCGGCTCTGAGAGCAATGTGACCAGACGGACTATTAGGCGCGAACTAAAGCGGAGCCGGCGCGCTGACAAGGAAGCCTGGTGGACTAGTATGGTTTAATAAATCGAGGTAAAATGAGCAGTAGGCAATTATCGTAAACTCTTCCTACTGATCCGCACTGCTGTTCCCGGAAAATCAGACGTCAGTGAGACAATGAGCGGCAGTGCGGGTGCACTGATACACAATAAGGAGCGACGTATGGCTTGTTAGGCGGAGCACTTTCAAGATCAGTTGAATTGGCACCCTGCTCCTGGACCCCTTCCTACTCAGATGGTGGGGGCTGAGCCATAACCGGTTGGTTTGGAGGCTTCGTCGACGGCTGAGGTCTGAACTACAGTCGCAGCCGCTACTTGTTTCCGTGCTGCTGGCCTGGTTTTCTTTGCACTCGAACTGTGGTGAGCTCCTCTGCAAAGCACTGACCTCCCTGTGTGAGAATTTCTAAAAGTAAGTGACCATTCGGCTGACTCGAGTGAATCGATTACAGTGGCAATATACAAGAGGGGCAGTCGCAGCGACGCCGATGGTGACAAAATTACTGGCCTCAGTTTTCGTTCGTCGCCTCACTGCGGAACGGGAATCCCGGATTAGAGAAGAGCAAACAGGTTTCAGACCAGGGCAGGGCTGTATGGCTCACATGTTTACTCTGCGGCAGGTGCTAGAGCAGCGCCACAGACACCGCAGACTGACAATAGCTGTATTCCTCGACTTCAAGAGTGCGTTCGACTCACTCGATGGATCCATTATGTCTAAAATACTTGCGCGCGAATGTGTTCCCATGAAATATATGACCATTTTACGTGCTCAATACTCGAACACTACAGGCCGCGTCAGTATGTACGGTGACTTATCTGATACTTTTCCGACCACAAGCACCGTTCGCTATGGTTGCGCAATTTCCCCATGTTTGTTTAACTTCGTGTAGGCTGCATCGTGGCGTGTTCACTCGCGGGGCCTCACGATGTATGCGTTGAGGTGCTGCTTTGGAAAGGCTTTTTTTATCTTGATTGTGCGGACGATTTTGTCTTTCTTTTTACCGATGTTGGTTTGGCCCAGTCAACCCTGAATAAACTCTTAAGTGTGCAGCGTGTCGCTGCATTACCACCAGCTACTCGGATCTAATCAAACCTCTATTCCCCTTATGTTGTACTGTAGATTATGAAGGTATTTCATGTTCACGAAGGGCATAGATTAATTGTCAATTACTCAAATGAACTTTGATTCTGCCCTTTTGAAAATATAGAGGATAAACTTACAGCCTCAACAAGCTGTATGTACATTTTTCTCATAAAGTTTACCTACGTATCCCAGTCTCTTCTTATGGCTCAGTCGGTTTAGCCACTGTATGTTTCCTGCTTCTTAAGTCATGCTAGCAACTAACGGTGCACTGCATCTTTTGTTTCGTGCGAATATTTGTGAACCATGCCATCATGGAAACTGTCTTCTTCTCTTATCCATGTTCAACAGTCTGGCCAGAGCATGTTACGCGAACGCTGATGTTTATCTGCTTGACGATCCACTTTCTGCTGTGGACGCGCACGTCGCATTGCATTTGCTCAACCAAGTACTCAGCCGATCTTCTGGCTTACTGGCCTCCAAGACGTGTATCCTTGCCACCCATAGTCTAAAGGCCCTTCCATTTTCCGACCGCATTGTTTTCATGGCAAATGGACAGATAATTAACGTTGGCACTTATCGACAGCTGGCTCAGTTCCGAACTGGTCGCCTAGCCACCTTTTTGGCTGATAGCATTTTGACGGATTCTAACCAAGAAGGATCACACACGTCCACTGTACCCGACGTACTTGAAATACAAAGGCAGCTGAATACCAACGCCCGAGTCAATGAAGGTCGCCAAACACATTCCACTGAAACAACTTACTTCAGTGAATGTAAGACACCACAAAATTCAGGTAAAGTACCGACGATTATTTTTGTTATAGTCCCTATGCATGCTGTCATGCCACGTTTAAGTTGATAAGTCAGTTCTCTCTTGTATAAAGCTAGACACTATACGTCGCCAATAAAACGGAGGCGCGGTACACTATATATATATATATATATATATATATATATATATGTGTGTGTGTGTGTGTGTGTGTGAGTGTGGTTGGCGGCATCCGGTTCCGAATTTGCCTGTCACTGTGGCCAGCCACAGGACGCCGACGCCTACAGAGGGACCTTGGGTGGCTAGCGTTGCACCACCCACAGTTCCATCCACACACCCCATATCTAGTGTAAACCCGAAGGAATAAGACCGGGAGGCATGTGAATGGGTCACGTTTCATCAACGGAGCCGGCCCACACTCCTTCACAGGCAAACGCAAGCACACAGTATTTGGGGATTCAATCGCACACAAGGCGGTGCCTGGACCGTAGTCCGCTCCACACTGAGTGCATGGAACCACTCTTCGAGCCTAGCACGACCACATGGACCTTGCACCCAGTCCCCTCCAGCAACGACCAACTGTCACCTAGAGCCAGTATAAACGAGGTAGTGGATAATAGACAGGTAGGCCCCTTGTCAACATGCACATCAAGCGCGGCCACACCGGGGATGTCAAGCAACAGCCAATCACATGAAATGAAACAACCAATAAAATTGGTTAAAAACACTACAGATATATCGGTAAATTAGCACATGATATAAATGGATTCTCGACATAGCCGTGATAAATTAAAGATGGCAGATAAAGTGATCAAAAAGCATTAACAGAATGCTGAAAACAAACGAAGTTAAGCACCTTTCGTATAAGCGACATTTACAATGTAATAGTTTGTGTAAGCAGAAATTATATTGCGGTAGGAAAATATGCCTTGAGACAAGATAGCAAACATACCACCTGAAATAAAGAAACTCAGCACACAAGCACGCAGCGTACCTACCAACGCTGCACCGGTTCTGCTTACGTTCTCAACAACACCCGTCTTCCTTTTCATGGTGGTCCCCAGTGTCCTCGGTCGTGGCTAATTAGACCTGCCTGACTCAGACACTCGGGACCGCATGTGCTACAACACTATGCAGTCGACGTCGATGAAGTACAACCCATCGGCGCCTGCCGCTTCCGCGACTGCCGTTTCTTCTCTGCATGCACGAGCGATTTCTCTTGTACTTCGGCAACGGCCTTCATGATCAGATCCCGCCATGCACGCAGATCAACCGCATCCGATGCCCATGAGCTGCAATCAAGATTAGAACGTGATAGGCTCACTTTGATCAAGCCCTGGTAACATAACTTCGGTTTTCCTACGTGCCTCTTCCCTGCACTCAATTGGCCATGTAGCAAATGTTTCCGTATCCGCGTCGAATCTATACTCCACACATGACCGAGCCACGTCAAGTGTCTCGACAATGGTATGCAGTCCACTGCATACATTCCACTTCGACACAACACCTCCGCGTCTACAACTCTGTCGCACCAACCGATGCGCCGATTCCGTCGCAGACGCTGTTGATGAAACTGCTCGCCGGTACGTCGTTCACGTTTCGCTGCCCCATAGAAGAACGGACAGCACGATGGATTTGTAGACCATCAACTTCGTACAGACGGTAAGCTGGTGGTTGTTCCACACTCGTTACTCAAGCTTCCTGAATGTCGCCGCTGTCTTCAAAGCTCACCGTATAGATGCAAGTCAGTCGACACCACACTCCTAAGGTAGCAGAAGCGGGAGGTGGTTTCCAGTACGTCATCAGCAATGCTGATTCGCGGCACCATTGCAAATCGCACCTCCGGTGAAGGCTGAAAGAGACAGACAGTTTTGCTTTTGTTGATGGTGAGCCCGCTTTTGGCCGCTGTCGAAGCCAGAGCACTAGTCATGTGCTGAAACTCATCCGCGCTGTGTGCAAACAACGCACAGTCATCAGCGAACAGCAAGCATACTTACAGTTGTCTCACAGACTGGGGTCCTCTCATCGAAAAGTCGGATGTTCAGCAACCCACCATCAAGACAGTGCTCCACATGAACACCGTAAGCACAAACATCATCAAACACACAATACATCCTGGCATGAAGACAAATATTGAACAGGGCAACAGCTAAGACACAGCCTTGCTTCACACCAGAGACAACTGCAAAGTCATCCAAGGTCTCTCAACACAGCTGCACCCTCGTTCGCATACCACTGTGCAGATATTCAATCAAAATTACAAATTTACTCGGACAGTCAAACATACCCAACACCAGTCACAATGCCTCGCAGTTCACCGTATCAAATGCTTTGGTGAAATCAACAAAAAGCGAGTACAACGACTGGTGTCGTTCTCTACACTTCTCCTACAACCGACGAGCCGCAAACACCATAACTATAGTGCTGCGACCCGAGTGGAATCCACACTGCTCTTCCGGCACGTTAGGTTCCACAACCTGACTGACGAGGCGGTTGAGCAGGATTCGGGCAATCACCTTTCCCACCCAACTCAGCAACTTGATGGCACTGTGATTCTTGCAACATTGCTTACTTTCTTTTCCCGTATACAGCGGTAGCACAAAAGCATCCTTTAGGTCAGAAGTCAATTCCTCCTCAATCCTTACGTGTTGCACCAGGTGGTGCATCGGTCACCAACTCGGGTCTGCCGTGTTTCAATACTTCAGCGGCGCAGCTGTCGTTTCGCAGCTGCGCACGTGCTCTCTGCGTCTTATCCAGTGTCGACACGTCTGCCAGACACATCTTCACCTCTTGCTTCTTCAGGCCTTTCATTGTAGGCCAGTCAATCTCTGAACGGTTGTTTAAGAGACGACCAAGGTGATTTCGCCGGATCTGCATTATGTCTGTAGTCTGAACTAAAATCGAGTAGCGTCTTCAGCGGCTCCAACCTCGGTCCATACACCGCCTTCAAAGAGTCAAAGACTTTCTTGTGTTGGCGGCATTCAGCGTAACATGCCATCTGCTTCGCCTTCTCCGTCCACAATGCCTTGTTATTACGACGCTCTCGAATCAGTCGCCTTCGAAGTTTGCAAAACTGACTTTCCCCCAAGTCCCTGGGACCTGCCACATGTGCAGCAAATGCTGCATTCTTCTCCGACACCAATGCGCCAATCGTCGCATTGTTCTCATCAAACCAATCAGGCCGCTTGCAGTTTGGGCGCCTGATGCTCCGCTCCGCAGCAGCTGTCACCTGGTAGCGAATATGGTGCCACAGGTCGCCAATTGTGCCAATGCATTCCACATCGCACTGGCGCGCAGCCATCGCCTTCTTCAGCTCAATGCGCTTCTCCATAGTACCGAGGGAGAGAATGTTAAATTTACGCCGATTCACGGCGGGAGTGCAATATATAGATTTACGAAAATATATGTACAGTTTGGTCCGAACCAATTTGTGATCAGTGCCACACTCAGCTCCACGCAGTACACGTGTCATGCGCGCTTCACGCATCTCACGCTGACGTACGATGACATAGTCGAGCAGGAGAGCGTGACCATTCCGCGGGTGCATCCAATTTGCTATATCACTCGCACTCAGTGCAAACCGAGTGTCTGTGATCACCATGCCGTGAGTGGCACACAGTGAGAACAGCCTGTCACCGTTCGCAGATTGGGACCTGCTTAACGGCCGTCACACGCAGCCTTTGAGGTACTGGAACGATTCATACATGTTTTGCGACCATAGTAGGATACACCTGCGACCACGGTCGGACGCAGTTGGGTTTTGGCGGGTTTGCACCAATTTGACCAGGGGCTGCCTGGCTTGAGGCAGGCAGTAGCAAACCATTGAACACCCGGAGGTGCACTCCCACCGTCAGAGACAATGCGTGGCCCTCATGCTCTACGCCAATCAAGCTGTGAGCTTATATATATATATATATATATATATATATATATATATATATATATATATATATATATATATATATATATATATATATATACAGAGCTTTCGGCAAGGTGTACTTTGAGGTCATTTCACACTGAATGTCGATGTACGGTGTTGGAGAATCACTGCTCCATTGAATCTGCGACTGCCTTGCTGGATGAAATTGGATAGTGCACTTCGGTGGCTATCTGACTGATTGGTCTCAAGGCGAACATAGAGCCTTATTCTTGTAGGCAGATTCCCGATACACACAAGAAATCGATCATCAGGGTCTCTAACGTTTGTGCATATGCTGTTTGTTAACAGATCTGCAATAGAGTACGCACTTTGAATATATCATTATTTGCATGGATTGAGGGCTCCAATTAGATGCGGCTGAACTGAGGTTGTCCGCTTGGTTAGACCTGAACTTTTCGAAAGAGTAGGATTGACGGTCTGCGATTACGTATGTGATGAAACTAGAAGAGGAAGGCCCATCAATGCAAGTTGGCGGAGGGCCAACAATTGGGGAAGTGAAAATGTGGGGATAAAATGGAAGTGAGAATTAGTCCATAGGGATATAAACCCGTAAGATAAAGATTAGGAAGACGTGGGGGACTGAGCAGTAGCGTTCTTGTCCCTACCAATCCCACCCGATGCATCAGCTTTGACACGTGCATTGTCCTTTGCGACGGCCAGAGTATCAGCAATTATTTTAAGACCTAAAAGACCTTTCCGTGCTGTCTGCAGGAATTCATCTCTTCTTCAACCCGACAAGGTAGATATACATGAGCCTAGGGAAGGGTGATGCCAACCTGACGTACAACATTGACGGCCAACGGCTACATCACACAACTTCCGTGAAGGACCTTGACGTACTACCATGCTGCATTCAAACTCTATGGATAACACGATCATTTGTGGAACGGACTACGGATACTTTGGACTGTCAAACACAGCTTCTGCACTTATTTTGAGGAGGTGGTAACTCGTTTCTTCTCTTCCATTACTAGACCATTGCCAGGGCGCAGCTCACCAACCTATTATCCGATCACACATGTTGAGGTGCAAAAACTCTCCTCAGCGTGTAGCTACCAACTTTCCTTGATGCCTTCGGGGTAGAGAATCAAGGTATTCCTAGATTGTTTGTAGTAGGCATCATCATGTACCTTTCTCTTTCTGATCCCCGTTTCACATTTGATCTTTGACCTTCTGTATGTCACTTGGGTATAACTGCTGCGCCGTCGTCCTTCCACGTCACATAGAAGTCAGTTATGCTATGGAGCTTCAGCGGTACCTATTTCTCTTTCGTCTCACCGAACCTGGTTGCTTAGCCTTAGTATTCTTTTTGTGTCACTCGGCAGTCGATCCTGTTGGCGTACATCTAGGCGTTTCCCCATCGTTTCATCCTTTGTGGAGGCGGTTATTTAACCACGCTTTGTGTTCCTATTGCTATCATCCACCCCTTCATCCTATACATCTCTCCCCTATTGCTTTCAAGACTGTGGAGAAATTGTCCAGCGAAGCGGTTCTGTTCGGAGCGCAGTTTCTTCTCTAATCACATTTCCACTGCCAGCGGACCACCAACATGTGATACCCGCTTCTTCCGAGCACTTGGATTATGGGGATGCAGGTTACTTGTTCGGTTCCTCCATTTCGTTGGCAATACAAGATAATCAGGTACCTATCCTTAGGTTCATTGTCCTCAATTGATGGTGAACTCTCCTACTCTTATTTCACTGCTTTTTAGCTTAACTTTCAGGTCCATCACAACTCAGTAACAGCGTTTGTGCATCCTTTGAGCTCACGCAACCGGTAATCAAGGAGTGTAGCTTTCAGTTACCCGGGTGCCAACTCGGTTTACTGCTTGCAGATGATGTGGCTCATTCACCAAATCACTGGTTCTTTTGCATACAGTCTACTGTTTCTCGATGTTAGCCTTTTGATTCCATACTTACACTCTCTTGCTCCCCAATTAAGATATTTTGCCCCTAGACTTTTTCTTTCACTTTTCTTCCTCATCATTTTTGGTTTTCAGTTATTGTCATTTTGGTGCCGGTTATCCCATTTGGTCAACCACACTTCGGTAGCTGGACCTCTGCTCATTAATTGAACTCGTGTTCTATCGGTTAACTGTAAACATACCTTTGCAGAAAGTGCTTTGTTGGTTTTGGTGAGATAGCTTATACACACGCTGCCTCAACTACTTTTAGTAGATGTTCGGTGATTTAGAGACCCGATGTCGTGATAGTAGCGCATGCCTAATCGTACAGCGCTCTGTTACAAACCATTCATCCATGCATACTTAGAGCTTTTATCGTCCGTATAATCGAAGCTTTTTGTTCACCACCCGGAAGACTCTTCACTGAAGAGGCATCTAATGTATAATCATCCATGCTCATTTCGCTAGCCTTATATGAAGGCAAGTGACTAGCCCTGATGTTCTCAACTTATTGTAGCGGACTCAAGAGAAAGATTTTCATGTCACGCACAGCACAGTGAGTTCAGGTAAGCAAATCAACGCCCTCGATTAGCAGTGGTTGAAGCGACACGGCTCTTTCAGTCTAATTTGTTCCTATTACCAAATTGTCTGACTGTCGCTGTCGATTACTAGTCTACGCACACGGTCTTTGAAGGCATGCTGGGACCACTTGTCACGACGGAGTATCCGCAGGCGCCGATCGTTCGAGAACTAGGGGTGCCTCAGGTTTCGTAGCGAAGGGGTCAAGTTAATAATTTCTCACTTGGTTTACTCGTGCGCTTACGTTTGCAATGGTTTCAATCGATTACTCTTTTATCTGTCTACACCAGCCGACACTTACCAATGAACCCATCTGACTGCGTTTTTACTGTATTTTTCCCGAGCCAGGTCATCTGTTCCCTCACCACCGCCTTCCCAAGACACCCGTTTGATTGACTCTGGTGAGCATGTGGGATGTCTCTTAGGCCGTTCGTCAGATCATGCAGGTTCCTTTCTGCCGAAACCTTGGGGATTAGCTTGTACGAAGACGACCTCATTGGCCGTGGTGTTGTGGTGTACAAGGCACTTAATCTTTTGTTTGTTTTCTGTAATCTGGCATCGATTACTTCCTTTTATTCGTTATTCGTATTCTCTATCTAATCTGTTAGAACGCTGTTGAAGAATCAAAACCAATAGCACAAAATCCCCCGATTTCCCGAATGATGCAACCGGAGACAGTGAACAAAGGAAGAGTAAGTAGTTCTTTTCACGACGGCATAGTCTGTGTTTGTTTGTTTCTATTTTATTTTGGTAACGTTTACCATGAAATTTGTTCTTATCACTTTTGAATTAAACAACTGAGCGCACTTTGTCTTGTCTGCTCACCGTTTTATCACGATTTCCATGATCGAATAATGTCTGACCGTTTGAAAAACCGCTGACCGATTACGTACCCTGTTAGTAGCTTCGGTCAGGTTGTTATTCGGTGTTCATTCTCATCGTAGCAACTTCTGGGTACTGATCATGTGAACGAACGTGTACATGGCGCGACAGCGGAATAGTGCGACATAGTGCCAGTCCATGATAGTCCGTGAATAAAAACGGTTTTAGTGCGGGTGAACTGCGTTCTAATCGACTCCTTCCCTCGGTGATCATCATGAACGCAGTTGCCTGTGATCCCAGCGTGTAGTTTAAGCTCTTATGGACCTCATGGTTGTGCACAAGCACCCACGACATCCTTGTTTCCATATGTGTATAGCTTCTCTGCTTTTCGCCTCCTCTCTCAACCGGCCGCACCCATCCTCATTGCGAAAGATTCCACTTGGAAACAGCCTTTCAGGTGATCTCCATGTTCGGTCTCGCTGAGCTCATTTTTGTGTCTTTTTTCTTGCTAGGCTTCCACTGATAATGTACCAATATGTCGAAACCGTGTTTAGTATTTTCGCGAGTTGAAATAACCATGATCAATTTCGTAACATCTCGCACCACATATCCCTTCTTTTCACTCCTTATTTATGGCTCTCATTTTTCAGGTCAAGTGGTCAGTATTCAAAATCTACCTTCAAAAGATGGGCCTCATGTACGGTCTCCTGATTATCATATCCCATCCACTGACACATCTAGCCATGTTCGGCACTAATCTCTGGCTCGCATCATGGTCAGAAGACGCTAAAGTTTTTGGCAATCTGACGGATTTTCTGATCGCCAATCCGGATGCGATACACAACAAAAGCGAGTACCCACAACTGGCCTCTCAACTTCAAGAGTATGAGTCCCAGAGAGACTATCGACTAGGGGTGTATGCCAGCCTAGGTTTCGCTCAAGGTAAGCTGTCTACTCAAGCTTATCACTAGTTGGGAAAATAATCAATTCTCTTTGTCAAGGGTGTCCTCCTATTTCCTCATGATGCCAAGGATTCTGTGCTTTACCACTGAAATGGTTGGCTAGATTTTGCATGTTTATGCAGTTACTATAGTTTCCGTGCTATTACTCTGGGTGTTGCTCACATCCCTTTCTCAGTTCGTGCAGAAGCCGATGTTTTTTGCGAGACTATTTTAATAGTCGTAGTCGATACTGTTCAATTCACATACCTGCTACAGGCCAAATAAATGGAATACCGCTCACTGAACCTGTATCAGGTCTCCCTATATCATGGCTTCCAGCTATGTCTTGCCTCTATCTTCTGTACAATTAAATTTAACAATGTTAATACATGAATCACATATCCCAATACTCCACCTATGCATGTCACACGTAAAAACATGGATTCTTCTGCAACAATTGATCTGTGCCGCTATAGACACAGTTTCTCTCCTCAAGTGAAATATACCTGTTTTATTATTATTATTATAATCATGTTGTGGTCGGCATTTTACCGTTTGTGTGAACATCACGTGAGCATCTTTTTGTGTGAACATGTTTGCTTTAGATATTGGGAGTTCGCCCGCCCGCCCGAAAACACAGCGCTCCACGGCCATTTTCGCACTTGCTTACTCTCATCAGGTAGATTGATAGCATGTTCTTTAACCCGAAGTCTTTGGAATGTTAGCCGAAACCTCTACCCCTAAGTCACTGAGTCAGAGCAGGCAGCGCTTGTCACGATGGTTAAAGCCTGATTGAATGGATCATTTGGAGCACCAGTTGTGTGAATGGATTACAACACGCAATCTCGGTGCTGATCGCGATTCGCAATGAAGTGAGGCTTTCTCCATTCGATCACCAAATCGTTGCGATTGTGCGTCGCAATTCATTTGCAAAAGAAGTGCTCCAAATCATCCATCCAATCTACACTTTAGGTTGCTTATCTTGAGCTAGGACGCTATGTAAGCCTTTTCTCGTTCATTGTTGGGTTTTGGTGTACCGACTGTGTGTCTTGGATTGCCAACCGCAATCCTAATTGCGGCCACGGCTGAATTTGAAGTCTGCCTCTGCCATTCCGATCACTGGGGCTGTATCCGGAGTGGAAGGTTTCGGTGTGGCAGAGGTGGAAGAGAACAACACCGAAACCCTCCATTTTTCTCATTTATTTCAACTAATCCTACAAATGACGCTTAAGCGTGTCAACCCTTCACATCTCAGATTCTGACTCTGAGCCGAGTGCACACATGAATATAACAGCATCTACTTACCGGATCGGAAGAAGCCCACTCTCCGTTGCACCATCTCCAGTTTTAATTGTGGATTTTTGTGAGTAGAGTAATTTTCGTAGAAAGTAGAAGCCACGATTAAACCGCACAATAATCTGCCTCGACGGGGAATCGAACCGCGGCCCCACGGATTACCGGTCCGCTGCTCTACAACTGAGCTACCGAGGGCTGACGATCAGGTGCGCAATTTAATACATGACTTCTGCTTGGTTCGCGACGTGTTGCCAATGAGCTCACAGTATCTGTCCTGGTGTTGCAGATTGGCTCACTCACCCGTCACTTCCCAATGAACCTAAGTATCTGTCCTTCTGATGTTCAAAGGGCGATGGTAGATTACTGGCGGTATTTTTGTGAGTAGTCTTGTTTACCAGAATAGATCTCTTAGAGCTTTAACACACGGCAGTGAGACGAGTTCCAGATGGCCATTGGAGTTGTCCGGTTTCAAACACATCGTTTTCTCTTTGTATCAAACTTCAGCACAATTTGGTGACCTTCTGTGGACCACCGTTTGACACTTTTGGAACATCATCTCTGTTAGCATCTCTCAAGTACGGAATAGCGAAGTAATTGTGTTAGATTTTCAGCTCTCCCCTTCAACTTCACACGTCTTGGGTCGTGTGTGGCGAAATTACTGTTTGAAACGTCTATATGCTATTCCGACTAATTTTCCCATTCTTATACCTGTGACTTCACTATGTACTCTAAAGCACTCGTTTCCAATGACAACAGCCGCTCGACTGGAGACCATTCGTACTGTTGCCGACAAGTTCCCTTGCTCCATAGGTTGAATTCGACATCGGGATATGCCGAGTGTGTGCGTGCATGCGAGCACAATAAAAAGTGCGATCCGCGTGTCACATAATGACCTGTAGCTTCGGTGGTCAATCCGTCGCATCACATTGTTGCCGCATATCTGAGCAACCAAATGGAACTGATCAAGTTATTCCTGCCTGACATTTTTGATTACCATATGGCTTGATACCTGTACACCTCAGTCATCGAATCGTTGTAAGCGGATTCTTGCATTTGGCACCAATTCATCGATACCACTAACGCTAGCGGCTAAAATGTTGGTGGTGCTGACAAAACAACACAAATTACACACATGTTCAGAGTTTAACGTTCAACACACTTTAGCCTCCTGATAAATGTTAGCCATTTGAAACTAAATGTTTTCTGTTGTTGATCTCTCGCTCCACTCCACTGAACCCGTTTGACTACCTTCCACTGTTCCGGTAAATCGCAAGAGCCAGCACGACGGCTTCATGTTGCTCTGATAACTTTATCTGAACGGGTTGGAATCTCCGGTAATTGACGTTTTCCTTTATTCATAAATAATCCACATTTGAATCAAAAGTAAGCAAATGCGCGAAGAATATTCTTTTCGATAATTCTCATCAGGCGTGTACAATTATGAAGCAAAACTTTTGGAGAGAATAAAGCCCGTAGAGGCCTGTACAGAGAGCAATCAACTCATTAACTGGGCAATATGAAAACTAAATCAATGATTTGATCAATCGGATTGTCGCATTAGGAAGCAGGTGATCAAGGAAGGTCAAGTTCAAGACCAAGGCAATTTCAGAGCCTGTAGCAGTGTGCGCTGTTTGCATAGCTCTGCTTTTAGAACTTTGATAGCAATGGCTTCAGAAATGCTCAACAAATGTTGCTTAAGCTGTTTTGGGTTCCGTTTAGGGATAGTATAAATGACTCGAAACGACTGGTTTATCTGGACTTGGTGTCGTGTCGACCAAGTGTTGTAATACGGAACTGTTGATGGATTTTACCGATTGATCAACTCATTTATTTAGTTTTCATATTGCCCAGTTAACGAGTTGATTGCTCTCTGTACAGGCCTCTACGGGCTTTATTCTCTCCAAAAGTTTTGCTTCATAATTGTACACGCCTGATGAGAATTATCGAAAAGAATATTCTTCGCGCATTTGCTTACTTCTGACTCAAATGGGATTATTTATGAATTGAAAAAATGCAAGCAACCCAAAGCGTTTAGTGACCTCAACAAGTGCTTGCGGTTTAACGCCCGGCTTGCCGATGCGAAGACTGAGATCCGTTTCATCCAAGATTGCATAGAACGTAACCAGTATCCAAAGACTTATTGGAAATCGCTCCGACGAATTCACATTCGTCCAAATGCCAAGTCTCTCAAAAGATATGCTCATAGTCAGCTGGAAGCCATCCAATCTCGACTCCCTGAACTGGAACGATTGCGTGCCCTCTACTCGTCGGTGATCGACGACCTCAGCAGTGATCACGGCGAATCTTTTCTTTGCTATTTGCAAGAAATATGCGAAAAGACGAAAGAGAGGCGATACATTAAGTTGCTCAAAAGCTTGGAACCTTGCTCACCTGAAACAAAGTTCCCCGCCCATCTCGATAGATATGTGCATAATCTCTCTAGCCAGCAACTGAACCAGCTACATTTAGAAGCATTGGCACTTGGGCCAAAATTCTGCCTCTCCCAGCCGAAATGCGGGCAAATTCATTTGGAGACCCAATTTGAGAATTTAATGAACCAGTTAGTTGGTTTAACACCTTCATCTTCACTCGCACTTGACACGTTTAAGACCACGTTAGTACATCTTGCCCATCAGTATCGGAACGTTAAGTTTCAAACATCTAACATCTTAACAAAAAAGCACCGTGACGCAATCAAGGAGATGTTATCCAACCCAGAACTAATCCTTTCCCGACCAGACAAAGGATCTGGCTGGGTATTGATGAACAAGTCTGATTACATCTCTAAACTGACAACAATTCTGAACGACACCAACAAATTCCGACGAGACGCAATCCAAAAAGAGACCACTTCGCAGAGTAAACAAAAATCATTAACATTTTGAAAGAATTAAGAAAGTCGAAGCACATAGATGATGCACACTTCTCAAAGCTGACCCCATGCGGCTCACACCCTCCGCGACTCTATGGTTTGCCAAAAGTGCACAAAACAAACGTTCCGATGCGACCAATAGTGGACATGTCTACTTCAGCTTTTCACTCTGTCGCAAAGTGGATAACAGAGTTGCTGGAACCGGTTCGAAAAGAGTTGTCGATTCATACGGTCAAAGACACGTTTGATTTTGTCAACCGAATAGAAAACCTAAACGTGAAGGATAAATTAATGCTTTCGTTTGACGTAGAATCACTTTTCACGAACGTGCCGTTGGTAGAGACTGTGACATTCATTTGTGCTTTCATCACTGAGAGAAACATTGATGTTGGAATTCCGGTGAATAAACTAAAAGAATTGATTCTGCGTTGCACCTTCAACGTACAATTTCTGTTTGATGGAATCTATTATAGACAGATAGATGGAGTCGCAATGGGTTCTCCCCTAGGCCCACTTTTGGCCGACATCTTCCTTTCAAAGCTTGAACGTGGAGACCTGAACACCCTTATATCTTCATTTGATTTATACTACCGTTACATGGACGACACTTTCATTGTCTGTGACTCTTCCATCGATTACCTAACCCTATTAGATCAGTTTAACAGAGTGCATCCATCATTAAAATTCACCAGTGAAGTTGAGCAAGATGGCCGCTTGGCGTTCTTAGACGTTCTATTGCATCGGCGTGAAAACGGGACTATCAAAAGGAGTGCTTTTCACAAAGCGACGTGGGTAGGTCAATACACCCACTTTCTTAGCTTTGTACCGCTGAGATACAAGAGGAATTTAGTCCGTTGCTTATACCATCGTGCCAGAGCAATCTGCAGTCCAGAGACGCTTGAAAGCGAAACCAAGCTCATCTTTAACACGCTGCAAGAAAATGGATACCCCGTACCTTTCATCAAAAAGCATTCCAAACAGCTTGAGGCTGTCAAATGTGTCGCTACAGTTCCCAAAAAGGATGTATTCCTTACAGTTCCCTTTAAAGGTGACGTCGCGTTCGAACTGTTGAATAGGAAAATCGCGACCGCAGTGACCAAGACATTTCCAGCCGCCAATCTAAAACTACTTGCCGAAACAAGACCATTGATTCTTCAGCGCTTAAAGGATAAACTCCCGGTTCGGTCCGAATCGTTTGTCTTATACCAGTTCACCTGCACCTGTGGTGCTGGGTATCTTGGACATACGACCAGGTATTTGTCCAAAAGAATCACTGAGCATTGTCCTACGTCACTACGAAAAGGTACGGTAAAATCCATCAACAGTTCCGTATTACAACACTTGGTCGACACGACACCAAGTCCAGATAAACCAGTCGTTTCGAGTCGTTTATACTATCCCTAAACGGAACCCAAAACAGCTTAAGCAACATTTGTTGAGCATTTCTGAAGCCATTGCTATCAAAGTTCTAAAAGCAGAGCTATGCAAACAGCGCACACTGCTACAGGCTCTGAAATTGCCTTGGTCTTGAACTTGACCTTCCTTGATCACCTGCTTCCTAATGCGACAATCCGATTGATCAAATCATTGATGTAGTTTTCATATTGCCCAGTTAATGAGTGGATTGCTCTCTGTGCAGGCCTCTACGGGCTTTATTCTCTCCAAAAGTTTTGCTTCATAATTGTACACGCCTGATGAAAATTATCGAAAAGAATATTCTTCGCGCATTTGCTTACGTTTTCCTTTATTGTTTGATACGCATACTTATTAGTATAGCTAAAGGAAACTCGGTGTTGTCGTGAATCCGACCATAGTGCTATGTTTAGACACTCCAGTCACGTCTGGTAATGCTTAAGTAGGAATGAGGCGTACGCCGGCACAGCATAACGACGCTTCGCTGCCACGCGAGCATCAACATTAGCCCGTGACCTGAGTAGTATACCGCGAGATCGCCCGCACCTACCTGGATTCGAACCGATGACCTCCGGATTACAAGGCAGGCCTTTTGGCTACTGGTCGACGGTAATGTTGAAGCACCGGATTCCTACGGACTCGAACTTAGAGGTAACTCACTGATCGCTTCTGTATTGCCCCCCACTGCACGTCCATTGATATTAGGTCGCCCTTCCGCACGGTTGTACGTTTAGTTGTTAGTTTGTCGCCATAGTAACCACTTGCTTTCCGATGCAGAGCTCCCTTCATCGTACACGATTCACCTGAAGTGAAGGGTGAGCACCACGTTCCAACGATTGCAGGGCTACATCATTTCGGAAAGCAAATACTCCGAATTCTGGCGTCTAGCTCGGATGTTTACATAATGCTCTTAAAAAGAACTATACAAATCCCGTTTTCTACTGAGGAAACTTATACAGTACGACCCAAACACTCATGCTGATTCTGTCGCCATGCGGTTTTGTACAAGCAGCTTTAATAAAACCACGTTTACCACATTGCCTGTAAAACGCGATCTGCGGCAGCGGAGTTACTTTAGATTTTAAATAGACGTTCATCATATATAGAGTCAGATAGCTATCGCCTCGCCGTTCCATCTTTTCGGGAGTCGTCAGTCGTGCGTATTCCATCCGGCCCCCGTGGGGGTTAAACCCGCAACCCGGCTGTTACCAGGCCGTGGTGATGACCACTGGGCTATGGGGGACTGTAGCGATTATCGAGACAAAGTTACCAAATGTGGTATAGCGCCGATCACCGTCCAGTGACGCATGTTACTCCCCCACAGAGAGCAGGATATCCCCTTCACCAAGCGACAAACCTATTGAACTGAAGCCGCCGATTAACATGGATTATGAGCTTTTTAGTCTGTCTACTGATTACAAGGGAGTAGTAAGGGAGAATGCTATAAGTCGGTCGCCACTGTCCTCCGTAGCCCAGTGGTCTTCACCCCGAACTGGTAACAATCGGGTCGCCGGTCCTAGCCCCACAGCAGCCGGATTGAATAAGCACTGCTGATGATTCTCGAATGGATGAAACTGCCGCACAGGGTTCTTCGCGTATTGTGATGGCTGTCTGACTAAGTCTACATGTGGCGAACTACTACTTATCCCGTTCACCTCCCCCTTTCAACTAAGTTTTATCAAGTGATATCTTTACACCGTGGTTGCCAAACGCATCACTGAATGACGCATGGCACGAACATACCAACTGACTTATGTGGCGATCGGACTCATTCTGTGCAGCTTTAGCTTGTTCGACCTACCGAGTGCGTTCGTCGTTACACAGCCCAACTAAACCACACTCAACTTGGTTTAAGCCGTTAGAACAAGGTGGGATCATAATCAGTGAGATGCGTAACTGTGCAGTACTAAATCTGCGCATTTTGTTCCTTCAGCTTTATTCGCTTCACTGTGGCTTCACACCCGTATACATTGATTCCACGGGTTCTGCTGATGACAAGGATAACAAGACAAATCAAGTCTTCTCTAAACCATGCCCCACCAAATTACTTAATTCGTTAGAGGTGAATCTTCTCTTACGATTGCATTGTTTAGGTGTCCTAATTGCTTTTTGGTCCGTGTTCCCAATCTGTTCCGTGCTGTCAGTGCGTAGCAACGAATTGCCCTTGTTGATCCGTGTTCATGCACCTTGTGCACTGAGTCTTTTTTCATCTGTTCGTTTCGCAATATCCGCATTCATCTACTTCCACACAGTAGCGTGCCTTGTTAGTTGTGGTTGTTGCTGTCTTCACACACTTGTTAGGTGTTTCTGGAGACTGCCTTATCACTTCTGGTCCTCTATCCTATGCCACAATAAGTCTTTTTTGATACACCCAAGTCTTCTATTTTCACTAAGAGTAAGTGAATGACATTTTGCCGTTTTCATACATTGCAAGCTCTCCTGAAGTACTTCTCACAAATCGCCGGGCATCAAGCTTGTCTGCAAGCAGGCTCAAAATTACATGATTTATGCTTCACGGCGTTGATGAAGTCCAATGGGTTGCCGTTTGGTTTCCTCCTGAAACCCGGTGCTCTTATTGAGGGTCGGTTACACGGTTTTCCCATCACTTCACCCATTTCCGAATCCATCGTCCGCCTGTCGATGGACCTAGCAGAGTCGGACAACGTGTTGCCGTTCACTTTCGTCGGACTGTCCAACTTGTTACTCGAACTGGTCTTCATTTCTGGGCTCCACGTCTTTGTACTCGCACGCGCTGGTGACTCCGCTACAATAGTGACATTTTTCCTTGTCCTGATACTGTGCATCATACTTATGGGCTTTTTGCAGGCAGGTGTCCATAATTCGCTGTGATTCACTATTCGACTCAGTGATCAATGCGTTTTATTTTCTCATATGCATTTGAGTAACAACCGAATAATCTTGTTGCTTGTTTCATAATAGCATGCCGTTTTACCATTAGCACATGATTTCTGGCTACATTTCCCCAGCCCGCCTGCTCTATTATCCTTTTTCATTCCCTGCCCGTCTAATTTCTCCGTCCACTCTCTGGTTGAATGCCCCTTCAATGATTTCCTTCACTCAGTACTATTTTCTTGGGTCGCTGCCATAACTTTTGCGATTGGTCATTTGTCGTGTGCCCAGAAGCTTCATGATGCTCTACTCGTTGGGGTTCTTCATGCACCACCAGGATTCTTTGACACAATCCCTCTGGTGAGTAACTATCGGCTAGTTCTTTCACTAGTTCCATTTGCCCTTGTGAGGCCTATTTTAAGCTATGTACCACACAACCTCTTCTTCCATTTTGCCCAACTTTTGTAATGGCCAAACAGTTAGTGGTAACTTCTGCAGCATCTTACCTAAACTCTCTTGTATTATTGGCAAATGCTCGTATCTCACATTTTATTTAACCTTTAAATCCATCGGCACTGTTCTTGCGTTTCCTTCGTCCCACTTCTTTGAGGTAAACTGCTCTGCTTACGATCGCTTATGCATTGGCTGCAGCCAATTAGCAAGCACCCAGAATGCTTTGTGCTCCGAATTCATATCGCATCACTGAAATCTTGCACAGCACTGATTTTATTTGTGCGGGGTTTTTAAATGCCTTTAGCTAGTGCTCCGGGTGCTAAGTTGATGGCGGCGAAGAAAGTTAACTGCCGTATATATATATATATATATATATATATATATATATACGTTTTATTCATCGACAGTGCGAGGCACAGATCAATTAATTGGTCTGATCAACTTGTACAACGTAATCGCACAATAAAATTAATTTTTCGTGTTTTGTACAAAGGTTCCCATATGGGTTTTGTAGCGATTAATAGTTTGAAAGTATTAGAAAGATTAAAAAACTAGGAATAATAACAAATGTGGATTTAACCAAAAGTTCAAATAAAGTAATACGGTTATCCCTGGAACTATCCCCAAGGGACTTGCTTCCATGCAGAGTATTCCCTCGATGGGTTTCACTCCCACTTCCGTGCTCCAACTGGTTCTGTGGCGGTGTGGCAAAATAGTAAATAAACCATCACCTGTGTAACAAATGTGCTTTTTTCTTAAGGACTGTTTTATGCATACCTTATTGGCGATGAAGCCTCAACCCGTTCCGTCATACGGATCAGTCAAGTATGGCATTTTTTGTTATAGGCCAGCGAGTCAGTAGCAGTATGATTTGCATGAATATAATTTTTTTTTAGTTTGCTAGGTGTAATCCGTCACCCGCAAACAATGAAACAAGGAAGAATATAAAGTATGAGGAAATAAAAAAACATACTTTTGAATATGAACGTTTGCCGATAGACCAATCACAATTTGATGGAAAATCTTAGCGAGTGACGACGATGGTACAGCGACTTCAGCTTGAAAGGCATAGTGCACCTTTGAACCAGTGCATTAACGGAGAAAACTAAATTATTTTGGCGGAGTGATACGAGTAAAATCATTTATAGATACCTACTCAAGAATTCAACTATGTGTAGGTAAAATTTTTCTATTGAGGCAATTAGAGTATATGGCGACTTTCAAGTATATCCAAGACCTCATACAAATCATCTGGAGTCATCTTTTGGCTAAGTGTTGACCAGATATTTGAAACAGTCAGGTGAATATTAATCATGAGTTTGAATTGCGAATAGCTAGTGCAGTTTCTAGTACTTGATGGAAGTTTGTTCCATATTAACGCATATTTTACCGAGCACATATGTGAACCGAGTTTGGTGCGAGACCTTTGTATTTGCAATGTGCACTCGCTGTTTCTTACTTCAGAGCACATACGAGTCTGAAACTCGTGTTGTGGCTGAGCAATGAAGCTTAATCCGAATAGTAAGCGGTATAGAAGGCACAGATTAAGTTTGATTCTGCGCAGTCATAGCAGCTCTAGTTTTAGAGGATCGCAACACTCACGGTATGTCATAGTGTTAGGCATGTTCAAAAACCTCTTCGTGAATGATCGTTGAACGTTTTCTAGTGCTATGATGTCAATTTTTCTCAGGTTACCGTGCACTATCGTACAGTACTCAAGCTTCGGCCTAACACATTTTTAAAAGCTTGAAGCCTGGAATCCCTCAAGATAAGAGTTCGACTTAAGTAGGCGATCACTTCTGGGAGCAGCCCGCAAGAATAAAACGCTCTAAAAATTTGTGTGGCGGAATATCTTAGGCCAAGATCTCAGACTGCGCCACACGCAGGAATAGGTGTCGTTTAAGGGTAGGATGTTCGGAGAAAGGCCACAGTCGTGCTACGATAGATTACACTTGTCAGTGGCAAGGCGCAACTTTCAGGAGTTATTCCAGTGCTCCAATGCGGACAAGTCAGACTGAATACAGGGGCGGAACAATACACAATTTTAACATAATCAGCGAAGTGCATGACTTCCCATATAAGATTTCATCAATGATATCTTTCCAATAGATTAAGAACAAAAGCGGGCCTAGCACGCTGTGTTGAATCACCTCACCAGATATTGAGGTGGCTTCCGATGTACAGTTACCAATTCGGGCTGCTTGCTTTCTACCCTCGTGGTAGGAAGATAACCAATCTAGAAACGAATTTGTGATACCATAGGACATAAGCTACCGCAACAATGAATTGTGTGGGACACAGTAAAAAGCCTTTTGGCCATCAAGAAACATTACAACGATGGCACTTCCGGCGTCTCTTGCTCTAGTCACATGATCAAGATCACCTCACTGACAGGTAGTGCATGGCCTACCTTTCAAGAAACCGTGCTGATGTTTACTGATAAGTCTCATAAAACTCAAATATTCTATTATGTGTTCTTTAACTGACCTCTCCATGATTCTGGAGATAATGGATGTGTGGTGGATTGAGCGGTAATTTTTTACATCTTGCATAGATCCGCTTTTGTGTCGTGGTATTATAGTTGCTTTTTTCAGTGCAAAGGATACTTCCCACTGAGAATAGAAAGTCTATATACATTAGGCAAAAAGAGGGGGATGTCTGGACCTCCGTGCTTGACTAGAATAGGCGGGATGTTATCAGGACCTGGTGAACATGATGGCGACATATGTCCCTAAGTATGAACACAGTAGTTTGGAGTGTGTTACTGCCTTGGTGTATCAGCCTGAGTTTAGCATCCTTTCTCGCTATAAGTAGAGATGTAGTAGGCTTTGAAGATCGAACATATGATTGCGCGATCGGTTATGGCAATTCCATCAGACTTTATAATCTAGTTACTATAGCTTGCTTTTCTAATCTGCCTACGGTCCAAAAGTTTTGAAATGAAGCCTACCACGTTGGCGCCCTTCAGTAGTATTACCTCCTCAGAGCAGAGCATTTTGTGGTGCTCATGGTTAAATGCTGTTAACAATCTGGTGTGAAGCATCAGTAGAGTAAAATCGTTCGTTTTCCTTAACTTTTTTTATTTTATGAACTTTAGTGGCTACCTTTTTCGAGGTGCCTGCAGCTGTAACAATGCTATTCAACTTCTTAGTACGTTTTGGAGCCACAACTTCATGAGTAAGAGCTGCGATAGACTGAGTAGACCAAACGGCATATATATATATATATATATATATATATATATATATTATCGACTATGCGAGGCACGCCCATGGAGGCATGATCAGATATGTACAACTGTACCGACATTTTATGACAACTGTAACAGTGACAGTAGAAAATTGTTCATATGTCCATGCTTGGAACTGTACAATGGTGAAGATGCGAAATAATAATTTGGCTGTTGTGAAACCGGGACCTCGGCTAATAATAGATTGAGAATCCTGAATGATCCATTGGAAAGTAATTGAAGAGCACACTCAAGAGAGATATGACAATACAGTGAGTTCGTGCACAAGTAACGCAAAGGTCAACGGTGATATCGTAGAAAGCTAAAAGATGACAGTATATGCAGTTGTAGAAGTTCCAGTGTAACGAACCTATCTAGAATCGTGACGCTAGTTGATCTCCCAGTGTGAAGTTATGGGCTGTGACTTTATTCGGTGGCGAGTCACATTCGCCACGTTGCAGTGTTGTTAAACGGACATTTGTGACTTTTTATATGGAGAACGCTTGCCAGGCGAAAACCCACCACGTCCTGAAACACTGCCGCCAATCCATTGAATGGCAAACTGTAACTGGCTATGTTCTGGTTGAACGTTTGTTTGCTCGGTTATTCGCAGTCAGGTTGCGTCCCATTTTTCTGCCGGCTGATGCGTTAGCCGAGTGTCTATTGCGTTCCTGAGTCCTGTCCTGTGCCCGATTGATAGGTCGGGAACTAAACTTACTTTTTGAATATGACGTGTTGATCCTTTGCAGAACCACGTGAAGTCTCCGAGGGATACACGTTGAAATATGTTGAATTGTTGTTGAAGTCTTGAAGGATAGAATATGGTTCCAAAGAAAGAATCGCAGATCCCCGGGGTATATAATAAAATTGATTAGAAATATAGGCAACCACGGCCAATTGAGCGGTCAACGCGGATTGAAGAACTCATAATGACCAATTGTTCTGGCTTTGTATCGCAGGAGAATGTGCCTTCCGAAGTCAAAAGTAGTTCTCCAGGCAAGAGTTATGTGGAAGAGATAGTGGTAGGCAAACTGAGCCCAAAGGCTCAAGCCTCGGAAAATTTGTATCCGTGCATGAGTTGTCCGGTTAGTAAGTTGTAAAAGGGTTGATAATCTTCCACTCATGTCCAGATAAAGGAACTGTGTGGCTTGTATTATTGTCGCAACGATGGACAATTCCTTGGGTGCGTGTCGCCGTGCCTGTGACAAACTCAGTCTGTCGTAGCTCTCACTCATGACCTTTAATAGCAAAAGTTCGTACTCCTGAACTGGCTTGTCAGTATTATGGGACTTAGTTCCGGTTCGAAATTGTGCCACTTTCAGCATCTGTCTTTACTACATGACTGACGTTTTATGTTCCTCAGTGAAAACGTTCATGGTCACAGTTTATAGCTAACATGACAAATACGCTAGTTATCTATTTATATTGTGCTCCCGTTTTCATCGGATTTCATCTCCCATCAGGGACGGGTTGTCAACCGGTTCGCGCAGGACATTTCCACTCTGGACGGCCCGCTGCTGCAGTCAATGAAAAGCGCCTTCGATTGCTTTCTTCAATGCCTACTTACTATTTGCATGGCCTGTAGCATAAATCCTTGGATAATTATCCCCATTGCTTTTCTCACAATTGTTTACGTGGTACTACAGGTACGTACATGTTCTCACCAATGCTGCGTATCCCCATGCAATTATCCTACTTCCAAATTAATAACATGGACCGTAATTTGTTCTTTGTTGTTCGCTTCAGAGACTCGCTCATTGCTTTTTGTGGCTTGGAGTTTGTTTATGCCCAAATTGCTGTCTGGGCTTGGATCACATTTAATCCCAATTTGGCGTATAACCTACATACCCACCTGCATGAACTCATCTACCTTTTGGATAATTTTCGCGTGGCCTATCATGCAGTCATGTTGCTTATGCGTTACTTTTGTTCCCAGAATGTCTATGTGACCAACTCCCGGCAATTGAAGCGATTGGAATCGGTCAACCGTTCTCCAATCTTTTCACATTTCTCCGAAACCCTGCTTGGCGTAGACAGCATACGCGCTTACGGGATGACGGAAGATTACGTACAGATCAACTCCAGCCGCTTGGACACAGACAACGCCACCACCTACTTAAATATGACTGCCCAGCGGTAGGTCTGACTGGCTACCTAGAGCGGCGGGATCTACATTTTCGTCTGTTAACTTCCTGTTCCCAAGTTTTATTATTTGCCGTCTCAAAAATTAAACGCTTATGTGTTAAGAAACTTGAACGTAAAAACAACCTGTAAACCTATGCAGCGCCAGATATTACTTTTGTCGTCTGCTCGCGACGAGTTTCGCATTGAATCAGATGTTTGGAAATCTATCGCTTGAATCCCTCCCCTGAGTGGTTCATGTTGCACTGTAGAAACCAGCGTGTCATTCCTTAGATCACGAATTCAAATGAATTTACCCTTCTTTACTACAGCATTCGCCCTCTTATTTACCTGTCAATGGTTACCAACACCTGAAAAGGGCCTATGACAATAGTCGGAGCATGAGTGAATGGGGCCGCCACGCCCACAGCTCCGTCCACCCACTCCATTCCAAGTGTAAACCCACAGAAATGAGACCTGGTGACATGCGTGTGGGAGTCCCGAACCTTTTGTAGCTTTCCTGCGTTCCATCAACGCGCACCTCATCAATGGGTAGCTGAATCTGTGTGGCAGTATCGCATTGTCATGACAGAATCTAGAGACTATAGACGCAACCTGTATCAGAAAAGTACACGTCCTTTTTGTGGGTATTTAATTCATGCGGAACCGTCACCTACCTCCTCATTCAAATACCATTGGTGGGGCTTTGTAGATCAGTGGCGACTAAGCCATTATCAATCCCATGCGTGAAACGCTTGTTTAACCTTTCTTTCAGTTTCCCGTGCAACAATTACCAGTTTCCAGTGACTAGCATTTGAGGCGGAAGTATCGGACAGGTAGGCATATTGTCAACACTCACGTCGCGCGCATTCAAGCTTGGCATATCATGTGCTCATACGTTTAGGTCTGGCCTAACTGCAGCAACACACCGCGTCGACCCCAAGTTCATCACAATTGCAACACTAGTCACTTTGGTAACGTTATTTGGATTGCACAGTTGATGATAGTTGGTCACTGACTGTACTATAATCGGACAACAGCTGGAGGGAAACTAACAAACTACGCCCGACGACATAAGAAATTCATGATCAAACCAAGTTCGCATGACAAATGCAAACACATTCCATTTGATGAAATATGCTTGTCTGCTGGTGAGATCATTGAAAGACTAATTAGTGAAACTGGACGGAGGCACATACGGAAAAAGTAAAAACGTTGTGCATTTTTGTAGATCAACCCTAACTGCTTACCCAAGTGCGTTGAAAAGACCGCCACGTACACTATGAGTGGATAATGACTTATTTATGTTAAATAACTTTTTGCGTGTAACGAACGAATAGGGCAAAACTGGATCTAAGTTCCCGGTGCCGAGCAAAGAAGCCTCGGGAAACCTCTGAGCAGGCTAACAGGTATGGAGGGTTTCGGTGTGGCTCTCCCCCATCGCTGCACTCCAGTGAAGTGATGGAAGAGTGCAACACCGAAACCCCTCACTTTGGTGACGGTCCCAATGATTGTACTGGTGGAGGCTGACTTAAAAGTCAACCGAGGCCACGATTAAGATTGCATGTCGCAGATGCTCTAAAACCCGAAAATCACCTTCTAACCGCTATGTCAAGCACTGCTCACGGAGCTCAATAACCTAGCGATCATGGGGATAGTCGCCAAGCACTCTGTGCCGCGTTCCACTCCCAGTTCAGGCTATCTATACTTTACGAGTCCAAATCAGGGCGAAACCGTCGGTCGTAGAGTGCAGGGATGGGAGAGAGCCACACCGAAACCCTCCACTTCCATGACGGTCCCAGTGCTCGGAATGGTACAGACTTCCTTCGAAGTCGACTGAGGCCTCAATTAAGATTGCGCGGCGCAATCTAAGACACACGGGGATACTCCAAAGCTTAACATTCAAGCTAAGAGATAGTTTGTCAGGAGAAACGCTTAATTGAGATGTGTAACAGCTAGTAACCCCAGGCTTGCATTTTTGTTGCGTACATCTCTTGATGTTTGTTTAAGTGAATCCTTTTGGCAGCCGTATTGGCCGTTAACAATCACTGTTTCTGGGGACTTACCATAGTTTTCCACCTAAGAATGAGCGCATCTGCTTAGTGCTTTATGTGACTGATTCCTTATTGGCTGACTCAGTGGGGTGTTTTTAGTGTCTTGCTTTGTCTTGACTGCAACTCGTCTACCATATAATAATGCCATTTTCTGACGGAAAGAACCTTGTCCCTTCTTTTCTTGGTGTCCTCGTTTTCGACGTGGGTTGTAGCGGTTGTAAATGACACTAGATACAGTAAAACCGAAGTTGGCCACCTCTATATGCTGACCACCTCTAAGTTGACCCCATTGTGACAGGACCTTCAAATTCGGCCGTTTTGTGATTTCTGTCCACCAGTTTATCAATACACAGGCTCATTTCCGTCATCAGTTTTCACTGTACGAATCGCGTCATGATTACCTGCGGTTATGACATTTTAAGAAATCTGTGTGTTTTCACGAACATGAACCTAGAACTTCGCCATGGTCAGTCTATACGGAATAAATGGAAAAGACTCACAAAGAAACGAAGTAGTTCCACAAGAAAGCACTTCGAAGCAAAAATCTCAGACTCATGAGTATACCTATTTTGATCAGTGCTAATGTCCGTTCCCTTGTGGGAAAATTAGAAGAGCTTAGAAGTATAACAAGTTTTTGCGAATACTCCCGAATTGGTGTCGTTATGCTACAAGAAACCTGACTGCGCGATGACGTTTAAGAAACATTTGTGACACTTGGCGGATTTACCGCGCATCACATTGACCGTCCATGTGCATACAGTACATCCATAACTTTTTCATGATGCACGCCAACAAAAAGTATTCTTCATTATTATGCGCAGCGTATTAGCTGTTTAATTATGAAATGTAAGCCACGGTACTTGAATGGCTATTGTTCCATTCCATTAGCCAACATTTACATTTATCCCAACTGTCCTATACCTGAGGCTGAAAACTTTTATAATGGTTTCATAACCACTGTCATTGACTATCTAGATATTTCTTTATGGATTTTTGTCAGTGACTTCAATCGATACGACACTAATTTCATCACTAATCTTGGACTGAAGAACATACTGCAGTCTGCAACTAGGTTACAAGCCACTCTAAGAAGCTCAGAGCATATCACCATAAAGTTATCTCCCATTATCTGTGGCAAAACGAATCACAAGAATATTATGCGCTCCAAGAATCACAAGTTAACACAAAGACAATTCCTTTCCCGCAACATCGAGCTACTACGCGCAGCTTTTGCCTATACAGACTTCGATCTATTTTAAAACTCCGATGTGTCGAAGTATTGTGATCAATTAGCTATTTGAACTTCTGCTTCGATATTACTCGTCCTCTGGAAACCACTTTCATCCGCGCAGATAGGTTCTCATAGTGCGCAGGCTCAAAGAAAAAGCTTTCAGGCGCAAAGACTGTTTCAGCACAGTTCTTGTCGACTGATATAAAAAATGAAATGTGCCGCCTTAATCATGTTTATGTCCAAATCATACTTGGAAAGAATTATTGTCAATCAGTACGGAAAATGATGAAGAACCTGATTGGAGTCGTCCGCGGCGTCGCACACACACTGCTCTTGATGTGGAAGAATCACACCGCAACTTTTGTGCTCAGATAAATTATCCAGCCTTAACTTTACCATCTTTACCGTCACAACTCTCTCCACAACATTCACCACTCATAGATGGCATAACTGTTCACACGGATTTCATACGCATACATTCGTGCAAAACTCCCGGTCCGGACGGACCATCTCCTATGGTCCTAAAAGAAAATGCTAACGTCTTAACACAGCCTTATTCTTAAATGTGCATTATGTGCTTGTATCAACACAAGATAGCCGACCGCTGACGAAGCGCCAGCATCACACGCATACCGAAGAAAGAAACATGTAACTATCGGCCTATTGGTTGCACATCGGCGGCTCTTAAGATAATTGAGCTAATCATTCTCGGAAGAATGCTCCTCCAAACCCACTCAAGTGATCCTTATTAGTTTGCCTACCGCAGTTCAAGGTCCATTTTGGATGCATTAGTGTCTTTTGCACTGCGTGTTGTCATCACTCGATAGAAAAAACAAACGCAAACGGAGCTGCTTCCTAGGTTGCAGCAATGCTTTCGGTTGTGCAAATGGTGAGCTGCTGTTACACGATCCGTTCGTTCCGGAGTGCAACTTCATCAGGACTACTTTGCCAGACTACTTTGCCAGTAGTACGTAGTTAACCATGTTAAGGGGAAAGTGATCTTCCTCGTTCACCACAAATTCAGCTGTCCTTCAGGGAGCTATTTTGTCCCCATTCCTATCTTCTACCTACCTATGACTTGATTGTGAGTGTCGTTCGCCTCGGTCAAACTGGTTAGCCGTCACCCCATGCGAACATGAGATTGCTCACCTGCTCTAGCAGGTGACTTTTTTCCTGGTTGACTGCGATATCGCCCACTAAAACAGTGTATCGGCGTTATTGCTACGAACAACTACTGCAACTGTCATGGAGAATCCCGAAGACCATTTTGTGGCATTTGAATAGCCTTTATTTTCTGTACACGTGTCAGAGTCTAGGTATTTGAGTTGTAGAGCGGGGAGAGGAATACCCCTCGACCTGACTAGTCGTTTTTATTTATCCTGTGTGTATACGCCGTACTATGACTATCAGGTGGAAAATTGCTCAAACAGCCGTTGCCTTCAGATACTGTCCCATTGACCGAACTGCTCGAGATTCACCTCAAAGTGAATTGAGGTCCCGATTTTACGATTCCGCGTTACAGCGGGTACTTCGGAATGCTCTCCCTAATGTAGGGGTTTCCAACCTTTTCGCAAAGAGGGCCACATTTTGTGAATTAAAAATATGTCGAGTCTTATTCAGTCTGACGTTAAAATAATAGCAAAAATCACACATCATAAATTTTGATTGCATTTTCGATGTGAATTTATTATTGCATGATGAGGCCGCGGGCCAGTTGAAATGTTAACGCG